CTCCGTGGGGCTGCTCCTCCACTGGGTGCTCCTCCACTCCGTGGGGCCGCTCCTCTGCTGGGTGCTCTTCTGCTGGCTCCAGGAACCCCACGATCCGCTTGGGACCTGAGAAGCCACTGCCAGGCACAGCCTGGACACTGGGTCCTCCCCCCGCCTCCCGCCATCCTGCCCCAGCACCCTCCAGCAGTGTGGAGGGTGGCAGGAAGTGTTGAACTGTGTCTGCTAGTGGGATGGGTTAAGGGTCTGGGCAGTGCCCTCTTCCCACCGCTCCAGTGCCTTCTCCCTGACTGCCGTAGGCCAAGAAATCAGCCAAGAAGCTGCAGTCCCCAAGCACAGAGTCCGCCAGGAAACCTGGCCAGAAGGAGAAGAGAGTGCGGCCTGAGGAGAAGCCTCGAGCCAAGTGAGTCCTGCCCCGCCGCCTCCACACCCCGCGGGCCCTGCACCGTGCAGCCCTTTCCACTCACAGGGGCAGCTCCACCTCCCAGCTCAGCCTTGAAGCGGGATCTTGTTGAAGTTCCTGGTTCTCGGGTTGTGTGGGTTCTGTAGGAACCACTGCTGTGGGACTGGTGCCTTTCCCTACACCAGGGGTCTCACCGAGTGCTTCTGCCCCCAGGGACACTGGGCCCCATCTGGGGACATCTGTGGTTATCATGATTGGGGGTGCTCCTGGCATGGGGTGAGTGGAGGCCAGGGACGCTGCTCAGTGCCCTGCAGTGCCCAGGGTGGCCCCACCCCAGTCCAGCCCCAATGTCCACAGAGCGGAGGAGGAGGGAGGAACTGCCCTCGGGCCTAGGGGCTTACGTCTTGCTCCCCATGTGGTGGGGAGACAGAGCCCATCTCCCTGCTCACTTTCTAAATGGCATCTGGCCTCGGGGGACAAACCTGCTCGAGAGAACATGGCAAGCGGGTACAGTGGTGGCAGGGTGCAGGGCAGTGCGTGGCACTGAGCCTCAGCGATGGTTCCCCGCCCCCCGCATGTGTGTCATCCTTGAGGGCTTTTTCCTAGCTCGCTGACTCGGGTGGACGTAGCAGCCCTTGGCCACATGAATGAGGGAAAGAATCCTGGGATTTCATAAGAACCAGGGGAAAGGCTTGGCGTGTGGTCAGCTCGAGGCCTGTGGCTGCCCTGGTCTGCCCTAGGCCTAGTTCGTAGTGGGGCCTCCACCCTCCCACTTCCTGGGTTAGCTCCCAGGGCCTCCCAGAGGTTTCCTTCCGCAGTGGGTTTGGGTCTCCCTTCGAGTGCCAGCCCCTTGGTGGTGGAACAGCAGTGGCTGGGCCTGAATGAGGGGCATTGCCTCTCCACAGGCCCGTGAAGGTGGAGCGGACCCGGAAGCGGTCCGAGGGCTTCTCGCTGGACAGGAAGGTGGAGAAGAAGAAAGGTGAGGCCTGCTGCCCACCTTTTGGGGCAGGGTGGGGTTGGCCTGTCCTGCCCGTCCCTAGAGAGGGTGCATAGCACTTCCTCGGCCGGCGTGGGCGGGGGTCCCTGCAGGGGTGGGGGTGGAGCGTGCAGACCTGGGGCCCCCACGACAGCTCCTCCAGCGGCTCTCCCCTGCCTGGGCCCACGTGGTGCTCTCTCTCCTGGCCCAGAGCCCTCTGTGGAGGAGAAGCTACAGAAGCTGCACAGTGAGATCAAGTTCGCCCTGAAGGTCGACAGCCCGGTAAGACCCTCAGAGCCCTGGTCACAGAGCAGCCTTGGCTCTTGAGCCAATAAGTCCTCGCTGCCACCTCCTGGCAGGGCTCCCTTAGAAGTTTTGGGAAACTGAGGCAAAGCCAGGGTCCTGCAGGTGGGTGGACCTGGGGTCCGTGTTCCCATTGCTAGTGAGCACGAGGGATCTCCTGGCCAAGAGCCCTGGGGGAGCTGGTCCTGACATGCAGCACCTGGCTTACCCGGCAGGTGGCGCCGTGGAGGCCCCCAGTGCGAACCCCCACATTCCCAAGTATCTGTCTGTACCTGGAGGTCTCTGTCAACTGGGCATGGGTGGGGGACTGCTCTGCAGATTCAGCTTCCCTCAGGGAGAGCCCAGGATGTCCTCCTCTGCCTGCTGGTACCCCTGGGGACCCCTTGGCATCCCTTGGCCAGGCCATCCCCCTTACTCTCATCCCACCCTGCAGGACGTGAAGAGGTGCCTGAATGCCCTGGAGGAGCTAGGGACCCTGCAGGTGACCTCGCAGATCCTCCAGAAGAACACAGATGTGGTGGCCACCTTGAAGAAGGTATGGCGGGAACCAGAGGCACAGGGTGCAGGCTGGGGAGCTGGGAGCAGGTGTCTGCCCTGGAGCGCAGGCCCCCGGGGGATTCCTGTTGGGGCAGCCAGAAGGCCAAGGGCCGTTGGGTAGAAATGCCTGGTCCTGGCCTGGCATGGTGACTCATGCCTATAATCCCAGCATTTTGGGAGGCTGAGGCAGGCGCACGATGAGGTCAGGAGTTCGAGACTAGCCTGACCAACATGGTGAAACACCGTCTGTACTAAAAGTAAAAATTACCCGGGTATGGTGGCGGGCGCTCGTAGTCCCAGCTACTCAAGAGGCTGAGGCAAGAGAATCGCTTAAACCTAGGAGGTGGAGGTTGCAGTGAGCCCAGATCGTGCCACTGTACTCCAGCCTGGTGACAGAGCAAGACTCCATCTCAAAAAAAAAAGCTCAGAGCTGTGCTCCCGGGAGGTGCCTCCGGAGGGTGGCATTGCCGGGCGGGGGGCTCAGGCCAGGGCTAGGGCCGGCCGCACTTGGGTGAGCCAGACCTCTTCTCCTGGTGGCCAGATTCGCCGTTACAAAGCAAACAAGGACGTGATGGAGAAGGCGGCAGAAGTCTACACCCGGCTCAAGTCGAGGGTCCTGGGCCCAAAGATCGAGGCGGTGCAGAAAGCGAACAAGGCTGGGACAGAGAAGGAGAAAGCCGAGGAGAAGCTGCCCGGGGAGGAGCTAGCTGGGGAGGAGGCCCCCCAGGAGAAGGCGGAGGACAAGCCCAGCACTGGTAAGGGGCAGGTGGGGCAGGCAGGGCGGGCCCTGAACCTCGGTCTTCTCCGCTGAAGAAACAGGTGCTTTGCAGAACATTCTAGAAGGGGAGGACAGCTCTGCTCTCTGCCCTGAACCCGCCAGTGTTGTGTCCCTTTAGGGGTCTCCGTGCAGACCCAGCTTTCATCCTTGGGGCAGCTAATGAGGGGTGTTCAGGCCCCACTGTGTGCTGGGCAGCTACGGTGCAGGCCACCTGGGGCTCATGCCGGAAGGGTGACAGGGACAGTGCATCACACACGCCTCCACCGCTTCCAGGCTCAGGACGCCTGTAGATGGGGGGGCGCTCCGTGCAGCAGGGGCAGTGTCAGGGATTCTTCAGAGAGGCAGTCAGCGGAGGTTTGCGGGTGAGAACCTTAGGGTGGGTGCCTTTGCTTGCCTGGTGGGCTGACAGGAGATGGGGCATGTCCTTCAGGGCTGCTGGGCTGGCATGGCTCCATTATGGGTGCTCAGAGCAGCCCTTTGGAGGTGAGATGGGGGCGCCTGGGATGGGGCTTCATGGCCCAGGGGCAGCCAAAGGCTGGTGGTTTTTTTTTTTTCCCCCCCATGTTGGGGTCTCACTCACTCCCCCAGGCTGGAGTGCAGTGGTACGATCACAGCTCTCTGCAGCCTTGCCGGCCTGGGCTCAAGCCATCCTCCCACCTCAGCCTCCTGAGGAGCTGGGATTATAGGCCCACATCACTATGCCCTGCTGATTTTTATAATTTTTGAGGAGACAGGGTTTTTGCCATGTTGCTCAGGCTGGTCTTGAATTCCTGGGCTCAAGCCATCCTTGAGTCTTGGCTTCCCATGTGCTGGGATTGTGAGCCCCCGTGCCTGGCCTCATCTTGCTTTGACCCTTCCAGGCTGCTGTGGATTTCTCCCAGAGCTGTCCACGTTCCATCATTTCTTGGGCCCCCAGTTGTCCAGGCCATTGTGGCTGGGGCTGGGGCTGGGGCGGGCTACAGGATGGGACCATGAAGAGCCCGGCCCTCCTTGCGGGAGCTTGCAGACCAGATGGAGAGCCGAGCTCACTGCACCTGGGGGCAGGTGCTGTGGTTCAGGTGGATGGGGACGCATAGGTCCACGGCACCCAGCTTGGCCACTGGTCCAGTACTTGAGGAGAAAGGGTTCTGGGGTTCCCAGGCAGAGCCCAGCAGTGCCCTGTGACACCTCTGTCCGACCCAGATCTCTCTGCCCCGGTGAACGGCGAAGCCTCATCGCAGAAGGGGGAGAGCGTGGAGGACAAGGAGCATGAGGAGGGTCAGGACTCGGAGGAGGGGCCGAGATGTGGCTCCTCTGAAGACCTGCACGAGTGAGTGTCCCGGGGGTGGGGTGCAGCCTCCTGAGAGGCTGCGGCATGACATGCACCCTGTGTCCCAGCCGCTGCTCCTGGCCAGTCCCTCTGGGAAGGGTTCCAGGCATATCACCCCGACTCAGGGACCTCCCACCGAGGCAGCTCCAGGGCTGTGGGTTGCCTGCACCCAGCCTCCTGGGAAGGTAGCTTCTGGCTGAGCCTGGAGGGTAGCCCAGGTGGGCGTTCAGCACAGACACCCGGCCGCCTGACAGTGCCAGTGCCCATCACTGTGGCCTGCTGTCTGGCACAAGGCGTGGAGTTCCTCGCTTACCCAGCAGCTGCCCTGTGCTGGGCCTGGATGGTCCAGCCTGGGGACCCCGGAGATGTTTGTGGTCTCTAGTGCCAGAAGACAGGCAGATAGGCTGGTACTCGAGCCTCAGGTGCCACAAACGGGGCACACTCCTCCGGACCTGTCCCCACCTGACCGCCCCACAGGCGCGGCAGGGCAGGGCAGGGCAGGGCAGGGCGTTCTCACACTGCCTTTGCTGTTCCCACCAGCAGCCTGCGGGAGGGCCCTGACCTGGACAGGCCTGGGAGCGACCGGCCGGAGCACGAGAGGGCGCGGGGGGACTCGGCGGCCCTGGACGAGGAGAGCTGAGCCAAGGGCCCCAGGGCCCAGCCCCTGCCCCAGCTCAGCCCGCCGCAGGCTGCCCGTCTCCTTCCCTGGCTGGCGGGAGAGCAGAGCGAGAACTGTGGGGAAGCGCCGTGCTGTTTGTATTTGGTCCCTTGGGTTTTTTTTTTTTTTGCCTAATTTCTGTGATTTCCAAGCACCATGAAATGATGATAAAGGGTTTTTTAATGAAACAAATCACTTTTATTGGCTTTGGTTTTCTAGCAGTGCTGGTGCAGCGGGGGCCCAAGTGTGGGAGCAGTTGGCAACATCACTGCGCCCGTTTGGGGACTGGGTTAAGCCGTCAGGGCCACCGTGTGAAGCAACTAAAAGGTGCTCCGGGCCCAGCCCAATCCCGAAAGGCCGGTGGCGGGAGAGTGGGGCAGGAGCAAGCCCTTCCCAGCAGCCAAGAGGGAGAGACCAGGGCCTCTCAGCCTTGCGCCACCCCCACCCCACTGTGAGTAGGGCAGAGGTGGGGAAGGCAGAAACCATGCCTTCCTTAAGAACCACTGCTAGGGGTCCGTGGTCTCCAGCGTTCAGGGGGTATGGGCCTTGGGGGCCAGCTTCGACTCACCACAGCTGTGTCACTCAGGCTCTGTGACTTTGGGCAAATCTTCCTCCTCTGCATAAGGGGCCTGTCACGTGGGCACGGCCCTTAAAAAGTCACACTGTGCACCGAAGTTTCTCAGTCCACAGTGGCTTCTCGTGTTTGTGCTTCTGTTCTCCATGGCCGAGTCACCTCCGTCCCAGCAAGAATCAGGCTGTGGTGTGGCGGAAAGGGACTGCCCCTGCCCTGGCTGCAGGCTTGGTGGGCCGGACGTTAGCTCCAGTCAGTCACTGCGTGATGGCTGCAAATGGCTGTGCCTGGCGTCCTAGCCTCCCATGGCTGTGGGTATCAGAGGCTGAGGAGGGAAGGCTCAGGAAGGCTCCTGATCCTCCCCTCTCATGGCCCCGTCACTTGGGGCTGTTCCTGCCCTGCCAGCTTCCCCGGTTCAGAGCTGAGCCGAATGCCATGGCCTCTGGTGCACACGGTGACCCCTGGGGGCCAGCAGCCCCTCCACCCTGCCTCCCCCCAGGTCTGGGGTTCCTGGACTCGGATCCTAGCAGAGGACAGAAGGGAGAGTTCGCTTAACAGAGTTGGTGAGAGGGGCTGCGGCTTCCTGGGGAGGCCGGGCTAAATGGCTTCTCCCCACTGGGCTGAGCTGAGGGCGCTTCTCACACCCGACCCGAGCCTGCCAGCCTCCATGGCCTGAGCCAGCCGGCGAGCATGGGGTCGGGCAGCCTTGCCAGGCAGGTGGGTCTGCCGCTGCCAGTGTCTCTGATACCCTCAGCTTCCCTGGCCCCGCTTCCTCTGCAGCCCAGTGCCTACACTGCCCTGAGGCCCTGGGGGGAGCGTGCAGGGGAGAAGGGGCTGCGTCACCAGCACACGACCTCCACAGCTGCTCCCAGCCCCGTCCGCTGCCTCCATGGGGTGCATTTCCCGGCTGGGAAATGCTGTGTTCTCCAGTGGCAGCTGCTGGGCCCAGCCTTCCCGGAGCCTCAGAACCACAGGGGCACGGGCAGCAGCAGCCCGTTTGCTGGTTTTTGCATCCCCCGCCCTGCAAATCACGCAGTCCCAAGTCAGGCCACTGCAGAGCCCCCATTCTGGCTGCCGTGGTTCCTGGCAGCTTTGTCCCTGTCATGAGGCCACACCAGGGTCAACAGAGACAGTAGTAGCCTGCCTTGGGATGACGGTGGCATTTTGGCATTTTCTGGTTGTCTTCTAGTACCACAATGTGGTTCTTAAGACACTCAAGGTGTGCTAAGGCCTGAGGACCCGCTCTGAGCACAGGGACAGAGTGCGGCCACAGCAGTGCATGCGCTGCTGGGAGCTGGGGAGGAGGCGTGCTGCAGGGCTGCAAGAGCCCCCCTAGGTATAAAAGCGTTGCTAGAGGGCAAAGGGTCACCGTCCTAGGCGTCCTTTTCTAATCGCCGTACTCCCTACGGGCCTTCGAGGGAAGGCTCTTGCCTGGAGCTGTGAGTGACACCGGGCTACTAGGCTGGGAAAGGGGCTGGCATCGCTGGAGAGGAGGTGGAAGGTGTGGGCAGCCTGGAGCAGGGCGTGGGTGGCTCAGCTCAGGTCACCACCTCCGCAGCCCTTCAGTGCCCAGCCAGCTGCAGCCCCGAGGGTCTAGGGCTTTAGGGAACCGATCAGGGTTTGGGGCTGGGGAGAAGGTTCTGAGGCAGCTCCTCCCTAGGCAGAGCCGGGTGGTCTGAGCTGGGGCCTGCAGGTTCGTACAACTGCTGCCCGCCTGGGGGCAAGGCGAAGGGCCCCACCAGCCAGCTGAGCGGGGGGTTGTGCTGCACGCTCTCCAGCAGCTGCTCCAGCCCCTGCCCCGCCTTCTGCACGTCCTCGAGGCTCTGTCCCAGGCGCTCTGCGTGCACCTCCTTTAGAGAGCCCGCCGAGGCCACCACACTGTAGAGCTCGCAGAGGCTGTGCCGTGCCCGCCCCACTGGCTGCTGGAGCTCGGCGGGCAGGCCCTGGAGGCTGGAGGCCAGGCCGCTGTAAGCCCGGTGCAGCTGCCGGAGGAGGCCACAGACCCTGGACAGAGCCTCAGGATCCCGCTCCTGTGGGAGGACGGCGCGAGGTGAGTGGAGACCCACGGGCAGGGTGGGGGGACCCCAGCCCTGTGCCAGACCCACCTCTTGGACAGCGGCATCCTCCACGCTGGTACCGGAGCCCTGGTCCAGACACGGCTGCCCTTCCAGAGGCGGCTGGGCCTTTTGAATCTGGAGAGAGAGAGAGAGAGTCCAGTGGGGAGATGATGCCTTCTTAGCAATGACCTTTCACAACATACCCTCACCCCTCAGGGACTTAGGCGCATACAGTCCTGGCTTGGCCGTGTCCTGTGGCCTGGGGGCGAGGCCACGAGTTCCACGTCAGTTGTACCACGGTGGGCGTGCTGTCTCAGGAGGCGGCAGCAGTTCAAACTTCCCCACGAGGTTACGAGGGAGCACACATAGCGGAGCACACGTAGCACACCATCCGTGGGTCCTGTCACCCCTCCGTCCTGAACCCTCCCGTGACTCCCCAGTGCCGTTAAGATAACACCCAGCTCCTCACCATGGCCTTGCTGGGGTGGCCCCTGGGACACCTCTGTCGTCATCTCCCACCTGCACCCCAATGCTGTCTCCACTGCCCTCTGACCACTCCGCCAGGCTCCTGCCCCAGGGCCTCTGCCCGCTCAGCCCAGAACCTTGCACAAGGCCTGTGTTCCACCTCAGCTTCCGGGGACCCTTGGCGAAGCCTCCCCTGTCCACTCACCCCCAGTCACTTCCCGTCACAGCTGTTCCTGTCCTCATGGGCACAGCACCGTCTGAAGATGCAGTAGGTGTTCATTTACTTCCTGTTTATCTGCCCCTGGGGCGGGAACTCTCAGGACTGTGTCCTTGTTGTGTGTGGTGTCCCCAGCGCACGGCACCCGCCACCACCCTGTCCACAGGGCCCAGTTGTCCTTGTCGTCACGACGGCTGGTGGGCGTGCCGCACACAGCCAAAACGTCCACTCCAGACTGCCGTCGCGCTCCCAGCCCTCGCCCCGCCGTCGCTGGAGACCTGAAGCCAGCCACGTATTTGGATGCGTGCCCTGGGTGACCACCGGGCATCTCCCTTTGCCCTGTCCAAGCCCAGGCTCCTAATGTCCACTCTGCAGCCCGTCCGGCATCCCCTAAGCATCCCCGCTTTCCTTGTCTGCTCAGGTTACAAACCTAACGGGTCTCTTGGGGTTCTCTCTCTCTCACCTCCTACATCAGACTCGGGCAGCCCTGACTTGGAAACACCCCGAGCCCAGCTACTACTCACCACCACAGCATGACTCCTCAGGCCCAGCAGCACTTATCTGGCTTCTGGCCCTTGTCCCCGCCTGGTGGCCTGACATCCCCATCAGAGCGATCCTCTTAAACGAAACCCACCCTGGATCAGGCTACTTCTCTGCCCAGAGCACTCCAGGGCTCCCACCTCCATCCTGGTCGAAGCCAGGTCCAGCCCAACCGGGCCCGTCCCCTCCTCACTCTGCTCCAGCCACCCAGGCCTCCTGCCTGTTCCTCCAACATGCTGGGCACAGTCCTGCCGCCAGGGCCTTTGCACGGACTGTGCCCTCTGCTCAGATAACACTCTGCCCATTCTGACGCGCGCTCGCTGTCATCTAGACCTGACCTCGAGTGTCCTCTCTTCCGGGTGATCAGCCCCAGCACTGCCACTTCTTTATCCTGACACATTTTCCACGTTTCCAAGTATTGTCCAACGCCCCATACCTGCATTCACGAATTGTCTGCCCCAACTACATCGTCCCCCCTTGAGGGCAGGACTGGGTTCTTGGGATCTCCACGGCCTTCACTAGCACTTAGGGGAGTAAGTGGGAAGTCATCGCACATCCCTTTTCCCAGCCCAGCATCCTTCACATGTGGCCCTGAGCAAAGCTCTTCTCTTCCTGGTGGTCTCTGTCTCCCCTTCTAAAAAGCCCCCGGGCTGAGTTCTGGCCCAGCCTACTTTGCTGTGTGGATTGAAAGGTGGAAAAATGGGCCGGGGGCAGGGGGCTCACGCCTGTTACCCCAGCACTGTGGGAGGCCGAGGTGGGCGGGTTACCTGAGGTCAGGAGTTCATGACCAGCCTGACCAACATGGTAAAACCCCGTCTCTATTAAAAATACAAAAATCAGCTAGGCATGGTGGTGCACGCCTGTAATCCCAGCTAATTGGGAGGCTGAGGCAGTATAATCGCTTGAACCCGGGAGGTGGAGGTTGCACAGAGCCGAGATCGTGCCACTGCACTCCAGCATGGCTGACAGGGAGACTGTTCCAAAAACCCAACAAGAAAGGTGGAAAAAGCTTTGTGATGAGCTGCTCGTGGTGCGCCACGAGGGTGTGCCCTTCCCTTGTTCCCCCACAGCGTTTGGGAAACGCCTTCAAAGTACGCCATTGTCCCACGTGCTGGAGACGCAGCAGCTACTGTACATCTAGGGGTGGCCACAGTGACGTGGAGTGTCTGGAGGGTCCCCAGGACAAGCTTGCCCTCAGCACTGTGGACACTGGGGCCACACTGATCTCTGGGCTGGGGCCGCTCTGGACACTGCAGGGCACTGAGCAGCATCCCTGGCCTCCACCCCCTCTCCACCAGGGGCTTCCCCCAGTTGTGACAACCACAGATGTCCCCAGATAT